CACGAAGTCCAATTACTTCACTCTCATGATAATAAGGTATTCCCGAGATTATTTGGAGTTAGGGCCCGCGGAGTGCAGAAAATTCTGGTTTTTGATCGAATAGAGGTCCGAAGATGTTTCGAACAGTCTGGCCAACCCAAAATTGAGCTCAGAAGGGCTCTTCGGATACGTCTCAAGGTAGAATTTTGCGGGCATTTGGACCAAAAAACATGAGCGTTTAGCTTCGGAGCTCTGGTAGCATTAACCGAGGTCCTGTATCGATGGTTTTGGGAGGCCAATCAGGGGTAAGGACGAGGGTGGGCGATCGCCTGGGTTCCTGTATCATTCGCATTCCTTGCATCCTGCTGTACTCTTGAATCCCAACTCTCTATCTTTCGCACTTGTTCAATTCCTGGTGTATCGTCACATGTATCGCTCTGGAGCTAATTATTCGTACTCGTACTCGCAGTCTGATTCCGAAGATGGCGCTGGTGGCGACGACAGTGAATCGCCAATGGAAGAGGACACACCAGCCAAAAATGGACTTCCAATGAGAATCATAACTTCGGTGGAAGAGACACCTCCAAAGAAGCGGAAAATCATATCGAGTGAGTGTTGGGAAGACAGGAAAAAGTTCTCAAAGCCCTGGTTCAAAAAGCCAGTCGAACCCAGGCCGTTTCCTAAGAATGGAAAGAACATCAAAGATACCAATATACAGGCACGTTATGGGCGTCGTGATGTCTGGACGGTAGCAGCGGGCCTTCGCGAACTGATACAAAATTGTTACGATGGTACCGTAGAGTATATACAGACGATTGGCCTCGACTACAAGACTATCTCATGCTCTGTAACGGAGAATTCGGATAAAGGGACACGTACTTATACCTTATCCGTCCCTCAACATAGTGGTCCTCTTGGTTGGGTTGCCGTCAAACCAGATCCTGATAACCCAGACAAGGACATCTATGATATAGAGCTATTCAACTTCACGAGATCTGAAGTGAATTCATTTCAATGTCTCGGACTGGGCGAGACGACCAAGCGCAACAATGCCGCCATGATTGGAGGGCACGGCGATGGCTTGAAAATGGTTTGTCGTCTTATGTAGGATCAATAAACATACTAACTTTTGTAGGGGCTGAATGCACTCCTACGGGATCAAGTAGAGGTCGCCTTTTTCGCATGGGGATCTCGTACGGACTTCTGCTACTACGAAATAAAGAACAACACCTATAGAACGCTTTGCGCCAACAAAACTTCGAGCAAGAACA